GGACTCTGGCTTTAACAGTGTGGACAGCGGAGACAAGAGGTGGTCTGGAAATGAGGCAAGTGCTGTTCTGATCACTCAATCAGCAATCCACTCTATCCAGCTGTTATTCTCCATAATGTAGCACTCATTTCATTGTCCTGTTCTGCCTTTTCCCCATCTATCCTTTCTTAAAGCCTTCAGACGAGTTGTCAGACTTGCCTTTAAGAGTGGCGGAAATCACCAGAGAGCAAAGACAGAGACGAGATCGAGAAAGAGAACGTGAGGATCATCGGACGGGGTCTCACGTAACCAATGGCGCATGTGAGATGACATCTACACTTATGAATCACTATAGTTCAGACTCTAGTAATAAGCTCTATGGGAATTTAATTTTAAATCACCTTGTCGTCTCTTTCTAAAGTGGAAGCAGAGCTTGAACAGATAGACTTCATTGATAGCTGTACGGGGGATGATGATGATGAGGATGGGCGGAGCCGTAAAAGGGCGGAGCCTGTCAGCCTCAGCTCACAGTTTATGGCCTACATTGAAAGACGAATCACCAGAGAGGTGCGCATTACTGATTAATAGCTGATCACATCAGTTCTGCTCAACACCAGTTGGATTTTGTTGTTAACACGGGGATAATGATAGCTTTACTTTGTTTCTAGGGGTCACCCGTGAAGACCAGCCCATCCAGAGACTTAAGAACTGATGATCCAAGACGCCAAATCTCCTTACATAACCGGTACTAAACTAATTAAACTTTCATGATAAGTACGATGTATAATATACATTTGCACTCCACCATAAGCAATAATGATCTTGTTTTTCATGTCTATTTCCCGTCTGCTTTGACTAGCTGAAAAATCAATCAATTCAATCATTAGTAATATGATTTATTGGTTTATCGATTTTTACCAATAGGTGGCACTGTTGTCAAATTTATGTGGTGTTGTCAGTTTTAGGTGACAATGACACACATAAAGTTTGGTGTCAATATGTCAAAGCTTTGCAGAGATACAGCATCAGATGCAGTTTGGCACCATGCCATCAAATTTGTTAATGCGGTAAACGGAAACCGTTTCGGCAATCAACACTAAATTCATAACTTTGCTGACTTGGTCTGAAGATGATTTGGACATGCGGTCTAGGAGGAGTTCGAAAAAGTAGGTTTTCAATGTAAATCGAAATGGCTGACACAAAGTTCAGCTGATTATGGCATAATTGGTATAAATGATCTCAGCATGATGCAAGGAATATGTCAAGACTAGTAGCATTATAATAAGCAAAACTAATCAAAAGCTATTAGAATTTTTTGAAATGTCATTATAATTAATAACCACAAGGTGGCGCCGCCACAAAACTTTTTGAGTACCAGGTTTCGTAATGATATGCCAATGAGTTCGTAAAATACAGCATTTTTGACAAAATTCATAATGGTCGACATGGGAAAATTGGGTATTGTATGACTGAATCTAAAGAGACCAGTCTTTTTTTTTTTTTGGGCCAAACTGTTCAGAAATTCTAAGCAAAAATGCATGCAAACTGTGCAT